ATATTCCAAATGAACTCCATTCTAAAAATTGAACATGTCAATAGAGTCCTTGGGCACCTCTAATATAAAATGCTTCAAAAATAAACAAATTTAGACTCTATACATACTTAGATTGAGCTTTCAAACTTGACACTTAAAAGTTTGAGATAATGTATTTTTATTATTTATTTATTTATTTTTAAAAAATCCTATAATCATGTAATGGATCTATAACCACTCTAGTCATATGATCATAGAATCTATAATTATGGGATTTTATTACTACAAGTGAGCATTTGACTATGATGCTATAAAAATGTAGTTCTATAATTGTAAAGATATCTTATAATCATTATTGTATTGTAATTGTTTATAATATGTAAAAATTAACTAAAATACATAATATATTTATAAATATTGATGTATATTAGAATAGTTGATAAATTAATTTAAAAAGAGTTACTATAAAAAAAATATTTTAAGATTTATTTATTTTAATTATAGTATTTAAATTATATAGAATTTAGATATTTAATATAAAACTTATAGATTAATTCGAAGCTCAAAGATGAAGATTTAAACCTCTAAGAAGCTTATTTGGAAGGATGAAAGCAAAATAAAGATGGATGAAGGCAAGATGAGAAGGCCTTCATTTCTATTGGTCAAAAGCCATGTCCAATAGATTCTTAGGAGGCTATGTGCGACCATAACAAGGATTTCAATGACTTAAAAAAAGAAAATTTGAGAATCAAAATCAAAGATTATTAAGTTTAGAATTTGAACTATAATTTGTTCTCAAATTTTAGAAGGTTTGGAATTAGGATGATGAAGTTATAGTTGTTTGAAGTTAAGGTGTCTTTTAAGTTATATTATTGCTCTTTTGAAGATACAAAGAGTTGTATAATAGCTTTTGGAGATCAAAAGGTGCAATTGCAAGGCCAATTTTATGACCTATAATTTTTGTAAAAGATTTATTTTGTAAAAGATTTTATGACCTACAATTTTTGTAAAAGATTTATTTTATAAAAGATTTGATTTAACATATAATTTGGACAAAATAGTTTTAATTTTTTAGATTTTTATAACAAAGTAAAAAAATAAAATAAACAAAATAAAAAACTAATCATTGATATATATATATATATATATATATATATATATATAATATTTGTTTTTAGGTTAAATTAAAAATATTCATATAAATATTATTATATGAATAGAATATATTCGTATGATTCATTCATTTGTCAATATCAATACTTACATCAATGGTAGACATTAATAATTAGTAAAATCAACAATCATATTAATGTTCGTAAAAGTAGTAATGACATTTGTCTCAATGCTTTGTGATAATGACATTTGTCTCAATGCTAGTTTAAATCCACAACTTCTTTTTTTATTTACATATAATTAGATTCATTTTAAATAAATACAATATTTTTTAATATAAAATATAAAAAAATATTATATATATATATATATATATATAATTAGGAAGTTTAGCTATAAGAGAAAGGAACTAAGATACAAATAAACCTTCTCATTGGCAAAATATGGGAACATAGATGAACAAGAGAATAGATGGATGGCAATGCTAGAGATTGCAAGGTTTTTGTTAATATATATTTATAAATATATATATATATATATATATATATATATATATACACAAATAAAGACATAAAAAATTATATATATATTATTTTATATATTTTTTAAATATTTATTATGTATATATATATATATATATATATAAATAGTATGGTGTAGTTATCAAAAAACTATTACTAAAAGATATATAAAAATGTAACCACAAAAATCGAATGATTTTGAATTGTGAATATTTATATTAAAATATTATTAAAACATCACTTAATATAAAAATAATGCAATTATTAAATAATGTGACAGTTTCCTTGATAGCAATGGGATACAAACCCATGTCCTATTCAATTCTTAAGATTCCAAAATTTACCACCCTAAACCACCACTAGCACAAATCCACTTATTTCCACCTTCTAAAATACAACATAAAATACAACATGATGCCATTCAAACACACACTAGTGTAGTGGTAATAGTAATAATTATAATAATAATCACCATCTATATACACATATAATTATAATTTATGTGCCTCTCAAAATTTTTTAAAATCTTATAAAACAAGTATGGTAAATAATTAAATGCTCTCTCCTCCGAAGCTCATTCGAACCTTCCAGATAATTCCGCAGGCGCAGCAGCAGCAGCTTCGAAGTTTACGCCTACGTCGAATATTTGAAAATGAGCCAAAAAAATTGCGGGAGAGGATGTGTAAACCCCCTCTCCGAGACAAGACCAGCGCCTCGAGGGGAATGGAACAATCTGCGTCTTTGTCTCGCCGTAAAATCCACGGCTGAATCTGCGGCACTCAGCAAATATTTTTTCCTCCGATTCCGCGTTGCTTTGTAGAGTATGCTGTGCGTCTTCTTGCTAGCAATCCTCCACTTTTGGATTTTAGTGCAAGAATTTCATGTATTGTAAGGGCCCTGGGACCATGGATAGTCTAAACATCGTGCTTCTGGTAAGAAATTACATGATGACCGTGAAAAAATGCGTTCAGGGCGACGCGGAGAGCCTGGATACGTTTCTTAAGGTCATGAGGGACTTACGAAGATACATCGATGTGAATGACCGCAACATTTATGTGCTTGTGGAACCTGTTGTAAGTCACCGCATGAAGGACCTGTTCACACGCCATCCCCAACACCTGCAATTGATCAGTGGGTTCAATATGTTTCTTCAGCAAGGTTTCGAGATCCCGCTGCCTTTGCAAGAGAAGAATCAGCCTGAGGTGTACTTTCCCGACTGGTACCGGTATGACGAAGGAATTAAGTTCGTGAACAAGGTGATAGCCCTCTCAGCTTCAGATACCTCTCTGCACAAGGAGTTGATGGAATTGATCACTTCGTTTCGACCGGAAAATGCAGGAGCTGTGGTTGATTTGAATAGAAAGGTGGTTGTTCTGCTTGCACAACGCGACGATCTGCTGGAGGGATTTACTCAGTGCTCCTCACCTTGCCTCCCGGAGAACGGGACAAGCCTCGTCTTGCCATCAAACTTAACTACTATCGACAAATGGTCGCTCTGCCTCTAGCAGCGGCGAACAGAAAACTCTCCCAATTGCTGAAGATGACAAAATGTAGTATCACACGAGGTCAATTATCCTTGGCTTATGAAGACGGTCTGGATAAATGTATGGTTCACGTACTGGACGAGCTCTGCAAGATTGATTTTCTGCTATACCTCCCTGTTCAACATGGGCACTTTTGTGACTTTTGCAGGAAGGACATGAAAGGATCAAGTAATAAGTTTACATCTGTTAGTTCAACTCTGGTAGAATTTTAATGCGTGTTCTGTTTGCCAGCACAATTCTATAGGTATACATGCCAGAAGTGCTTGGGTTCTGCATAGATGTTGAAAGACATGACAATTTTCTGGAAATTCACTTGAATTCGTCAGAATAGTTTCAAGGATGTGACTGGGATACAAGACCCATGGAGTTCGTTGGACAGGTTAAACAGATAAAAGTTAGGGCATTTAGAAGAATATAGATTTACTCGGCATATACTCCTCCGCTTTTTGACGAAATTCTCTACTTTAATCGCAATGACCTGATATTCCATGCAGACACAACAATCTGCCATCTTATCCTGTCGCACCAAATGATGCTCCTAGATCCATGGCCTTGATCCATGCTAAATATATCCTATGTCATCAATGAAAAATCCAGGGGTGATTAATATAACGTCAATGACACGACAAAATACTTCCTAATCTTCTGGCCAAAATAGTGGACGATGTCGATGACCATTAAAAAAACTAGAAGTTTATTTATTTATTTTCATTTTTCCATTTGCTTTTCAGAAATTCAATCTGATGGACATGCGGTGGCCATCTGGGAATTGGTGGACCCTACCGCCCACCAATGGGTGCCTCCTCTGACACCCACAGATTCGGGTCATTGTCTAACGCGACATCCACAACCTGGAATTTAGTCGATTGTCACCCACTTAGCCGAAGACGACACTGCAGTTTTCAAGATGCCAATCTGTGAATCCCACAATAAATTCAACAATGTGTACTTCTTACTCGTCTTCACAAGTATTGATGTGATGACCCTCTGGTGCCTGCACCCAGCTCAATTCTGTGTCGTATGAGTGCAGGCTGCAACTTGATGGAAGTGTTGCAGCTACCGTGAAGACGAGTTAGGTGAGCAGTTATGTGCAAGCAAGAGAGAAAGTTTCGTGGTGTCTGCATCCATAGAGTACAGTTTACTGCAGGTGACGACACTTTGGGTCATAACAAGGAGCTGTTGAGACACATCTGACTGAGTGAGTGGACGATAGAAGTGCATGGGTAGACCCGGACAAAAGCATTCAAAAGGTTAGTACTTCTTCCTTGCATGGTTGATCCTCATAAATGCGTTTCTCACATGCGTGACACTGACGACCCTCAATCACAGGACACAACGAAGTAGTCTGGTAAAAGTGAAGTTGCCCCCCCCCCCCCCCACAAAAATCACTCTAACCGGCGTTTCAAACCATCCTGTCTTGATTGTTAAAAGAGAGGAAGCATTCACGAACCAACTAAGTTTTGGTTAAAGTCGTTCGCAGCATTTGACACAACATTTCTCAGTGAGAGATGTCATGAATGATAGCTTAGGAAATACTTGAGCAAATCATTCTGGCTGCGAAGGAACACAATAGACATGAGCGAAATCATGATATCTATCGGGTACAAACATCTGATGGGTCCAGCTGAAGAACCTTGAATCCGCAAAAAGTAATAAAACCAGTAAGACTCGAAAGGCAGATAAAACTAAGCGTGCAGAACGATTAAGACAAAGGAGCCAGAGATCGGAACCTTCAACTGACAAGCAATGAGTCAACATACCACGAAGCAATCAACAACTCCTTTATCAAAATTGGTAACACACTAAATCCGGTTGTAACACTGAATCAGATTCGACACGGAAATAATTGAAGAATTACGTCATTCAATGGATGCCGTCACATTTTTATTTTCAGCTTCTCTTTTCGAACGGAGAACAAAAATTTCTGATGAATAATAAACCGAGCACTGGGCACACAACCTGTTCTGATGTGTCTCAAATATCACTATCTTCGAACTACTACGCACAAAAATGGTTAAATGTGTCAAAAATGAATTAGAAGTGACATTTGCACAATTTTTTACAAATGATTAATCTCCTACATGTAGACAAATAGCTAAGCCCCTCGTTTCGGTGTTGCGTCTAAACCATTCGATAATAATGGGTTCTTCTCTGTGGTTGCCTCCCCAGTCTGCACCTTTGGAGGCATGTTTCCAAAAATGGGTTCTGATCGAAGACTCTCACCCCAATCTCTTCACTGGGTGTGATTCAGTTTCTGTTGTAAGCTAGTCCAGCCTGGTCAATAGACCCGCGAGTGTCCATTACATCGTGAACACGTCGTAAACGTATTGCATGTTGTCAACATGTTCATATTTGTTCGAGAATTGACGACAATATTGAGGAAGACTCCGACGTCCAGGGTTGGTTTTCGCCATTAACAGAGGACAGTCCTCGGAAAAATCTTCTAATGGAGGCAAATCAATGAGATTAATGTCATCAAACCTCATACCGCCCCAGGCTAATTCCACTTCTTCCAGACTGACATATTCGTCCTCAGTAGCGGCTGGAGGAGGAGAAGACTCCCCTGTACAATCAAGGTCCTCATCGTGTGTATCATCAGATTTTGATGCGCTTTTCCGAGGCCTTTCACCAGATGTACCAGAATTCTCTGACTCTGCGAATCTTGAATGCGACCTAGGTGAAAAACTAGTCTCATTCTTAATGCTCCTCAGTTGTGATTCAAGAGATTGTGCCTCTTCTTTTATAGGAAAAGCCACAGGAATGCAAGGCTCCGCAGCTCCTGCAGCAGCGGCTATTTGAATATCTTTCGGAGTACGACATTTTGGAACAGATTGAGGAGGAGAATCGGGGAAATTCAGGACAGCAGAGGGACCTCTCAAACAAACCATGGCAATATCATACGCCCGCGCTGCCATCTCCGCAGTCGGAAATGACCCTAACCAAATCCTCGACCTCTTGTTCGGCTCCCTAATCTCAGAAACCCATTTTCCCCATTGCCGCATGCGAACTCCTCTATACTTCGGACTCGCAAGGTTCTCTTCCCTTTTCAAAGAGAATTGCTGATGCTTCTTCACCAGACACAGATAATGAGGTGCACCTGTCATGACGCTCAACGCACCTCTCTGGGTCCTATTCCTGTCTACCATAATTGTAAAGCAAAATCCCTTCCACCCCCTTCCCAATTCAAACACAATCACACAACCCTGGATTACAAATCTCCGACCCCGATTACTTCTCTAATCTCCGAAACCTTCAATTCCAATTCAAACATCTCTCAGTTCAACTCAGGTCTTTTCAATTCAAGTTCCCACCGAGGGATATGCACAGGGGATGAAGCCCAGAACAACCAACTTATATCGAATCGCAAATACCGTACTTCACACGTCTCGGAATTCACAAGTCACGAACACGATCCAGGAAACTTCTGCTAATCTAACTACGGACCCTCTACAACAAAATTAAGAAACCTTGAGGCAGTGGACGAGTAACAACTCCGTAACTCCCAAATAAGTACCGGTTTATTTCATACGCGAGGACGAGAACTATCCCCCATTGCGGATTCCAGCGACGCACAGGCTCCAGCGTGATCTCTACACGTGATGATTTCAGACAAAGTGACTGTCCAGCTCCATGTTGGATCGGCGAACCTGAACGCGGGGCTGGCTGGTCTTGTCCACAACCGAGTTTCCAGAAAAGGAGGGGATGTTCCACGCAAAGCTCGGGGTGTATCGAAGATTCGAGCTGGGCTCGTCAGTGCAGACGGGAATCTGACGACTTCGCGGGGTCCACGACGAAATTCTCGAAGGACCCAACTGGACGTCGACACATTAACAGCTAAGTGGACGGGAAAAACAGCGGAGATTTTATCGTCCTCGTCACGTCCATTTCCTGGATTCGTGGCCTATGGTGCCGATCCGTTTTCGACGTAAAACTTCCTTCAATCACTTGAAACATTTCTATCTCTATATATATATATATATATATACACATATACAATTGAGAATGAGATTAGAGATTTGATGATATATTACGTCACACCTTTCTGCACGGTAAAATTGTGATTTCTTTACAAACAGTTTTCCATGTTTCGAGGAGCTTTTTACACTATTGAATTCCTCTTAACAATTCTAGCAATGGAGATATGACACCTGGTGTTGTTGCCACTATTTGCCTTTCAATCCAGTTCTGCACCCCTAACATGCATCCAAGTTAGTTTAGTATCCAAGTTGTTACAGTTATCTTTGACCTCAAGAGAAAATAGAACAAAACAATGTGACAAATAAATTAGCCTAAAACTAAGGTAGACAACCCAGTTCCGATCACTTAAGCATTTCAGCATGTATCTAGTACGTGTAAAATTGGAAAACAAATATCTTCATGTAGGAAAATAGAATTCAGGAGGATTCCAAATATTTTCACAAAATTTGGTCCAAAAACAGAATTTATATAAATGTCTTAGCTAAAGATTCTCTTTGACCCATTTCCGACATATATACCAACCTAATATCAACCAATGGTGGATTACAAAACTGAGAATTCAACCTTAACAAAAATATGATGTACGGCATGTAATTATGCTATCACACTTCACCTAATTCCTTGATACTCACGGATGTAAATGTATGGATGAAGCAACAAAAATTCAAACATTTAGTTGTAATCCACCATGTTCAAGTTGTATTTTTGCCACCATTCTTCTTTGTTTCTGCTCATCTTCAAACAATATCTTATATATCTTCCATCTTCTGATCATGCTCCAACAACCCTCTAATTGGCTAATGTATAATGAACTACTACATATGTACAACTCCACTAATGCAAAGTTCATGCATATCACTTCCAAGTAAGATAGCTAATTTGTTGTCAACTACCTCCCATTTCTAACATATATGCCTACCTAATTCTATTAGTCCAGTCACTAGATCTCACATTTTATTGATTGGAAATAAGTTGAGGAGTGGTTAAAATGATGTTAAGTTGTGAATAATAAATAAAATTCATTGTACTTAGAATGGATATGCATGAATTATCAATAGGTGACATCTATTGATTGGTTGGAATAGAATAATAGTATAATTAGGTGCCACACTTCTCTTGATAGCATTAATAGGCGCCACACATCACAGTTTTGTAAAAGATGGATTCTCAATTTTGTAATCCACCACTAATCAAAATTAGGTAAATCTACATGTCCAAAATGGATTGAAGAGAATCTTCAACTAAAATATTTATAAAAATTTCATTTTTAGGCTAAATTGTATGAAAACATTTGAAATCATCCTCATTTCTATTTTTCTACATGTTTGTATTTTATTTTATTTTTACACTTAATATTAATATATTAAAATGCTGATGTTATGAAAAATGGGTCATCTATCTTGTAGTGAATTGTTTACATTGTTCACAATTTAATGTGCCTAGCAGAAATATGCCACCCTATAGATTGGAAATGGGTGGTGGTTGACAATGAGTTGGCTACCTTAGTGTTAGAATTATCACCATGTATGATTGGATCTTTAATGAGAGAAGAAGACTTTGTATTGGGATATGTAAACATAACAAATTTTCAAACTTAATATCCTCATAGTGATATGTTATTCTATTCAAAAGTGTCTTTGTAAATGCTCTTTGAGTACATGACATAAGTAGATTTTTTTCTGCCAAATGTACATCTTTCTACGATTGGTCCCCAAGGATGGAATTCACCAAAAAAAAAAAAAAAAAAAAAAAAAAGAAGAGAGAGAGGCTAGATTTCATTATTTATTTAGTTGTGTTCATTGTGGAATATGATTAATAGTGTGTCCAAGGACAGGACACAAGAAATATCTACAGCTACAAAAAGCTTTTGACTAGAAGCAACCAAGACATTTGGTAACAAATGGAGGGCAGATGTGGTAGATTTACCAAACTATTACAGTGGGCATACTGTAAAACAGTGGGAATATGGGGAGTTTGTGGGACACTTGGTATGCAAGGTAATCACATTTACATTGCCCAGTGTGAGCTCACAACTGGGCTTCTAGACATGGGTTCTAATTCCAAGGGGCTTTGTGTAGTGCACCACTTGGGCTTGCCACTTGCACATTAAGCACTCAACGTGCAAAATAATTGAATTTCTTGTTCAACACAAGAAAAAGAAGAAAAACACTTAATTATTCTTCAGTGGGTTTCATGTTTCATTGTACTTACAAACCACTTCCAAAAAGGTTGCACCAAGCTGGAACCAACATTGGAATGATTCCAAGTGCTCTGAAGAAAAAAAATATATATATATATATAGATATATTATGAAATGAATGGCTGTCCATGTTCATCAATTTGGATGACAAATTGCCCATGAAGTCAAGTGCTACTTGCAAAAGCAGCATGTCTTATCAGCTTTTCACGTGTGTGAAAAAAAATTGGGCCCCCATCTACTGTCATGTTGAAAGTACCCAAAAGTAAATTCTTGAAAATAAAATAATAAAATCATCCAAGCGGGGTCGCAAAGCATCTCACCATAAATGTCAGCTTTGGCCCTTTTTCTGCACCACAAGTGGATTCAGAACACGACAAAACGCTGCTGCCACCCTGCCATTTCGTTCACCAGTAAACTCCTCCTCTTTATTCATACATATACATAAAAATATACATACACAGATATCTTCGCACCCGCGCACACTCACACGCAATTACAAAAACGTAGGTTAAATCTAAACATTGAATGAAGATGAGGATCTCGACTAAAAACATAATAATACAGTGATGAATTCGTTTTGATTGTGGTAGATACCATTCCATCCAAGGGAGGGTGCCAAATACGGTCGCGGCGCAGGTCGCCACCACCGGAAGCAGCAGCGCGACTCCGACCCATGTCAGAGAAAAAGCCAAGAATCGTGAGACATATCTTGAAGCCACAGCGCCATTCTTACTTGGTGGGGTGGGGAGGGAAAGCAGAAGGGGCATTCAGTCAGTCTTCTCTGGAGGGTGGGGGATCGAAGCCAACTATGAGTTTGTGGGATGCAGCTCTGACCATTGCGAAGCCCCACTGAGGTCTTTTTGCTGCATCCCTGTTTTGATTTTCCGTAGAAATCCACGGATTGTTGTCACTCAAGCTCAATGGCTCGATTTCCATGAAAGCCGGAACGCCACACAGAACGTCCACATTCCCTGCACTGGGTTGTCTATTAATGCGAGTCGTAATGCAAGTTGGTTTTGACCGCGTCCCATCAGAAAATCGGTTCCCCAAACCTGCAGCAGTTGAGGCCGCATGGGTTTAGAGTGGGGGGAGACGATATCAGGGGAGCGTGTAAGAATTAAATGCCCCTATGCTAGGGAGGAATGGTTGATCGTGTCGTTGCCACAGTTATCAATCGAATCCCGGGGCTAATTGCAGTAGTTGACGACATTTTCGAGCTGCGGATAGAGACATGATTTGCCCCACTTGCAAAGTGTTATGATCCCAATGATCCAGAGTTATCTATTACGCGGCGAAACGTGTCATAACAGCTTGCTTCGTACTGGTTGTGAGTGGGAGGGGCCATCTGCCCACACCTCGCCACCACTGCTCTGGAAAATGCCATCCCTTGGGCCCAGGGCGATAATCTTGGACTGAGGCTAAACTTGGAAAGACTGTTGGCGGTATGAGTATCTAGACAAAAAGGTCAGTTTTGTCACTACTTGACCCCAAACGAGAAGATAGGGTGGCATGTGGGGGGGGGACATCCTCCTTTACGTTGGATCCAACCAAATCTTTGCTGTTTGTGGCGTTCCGTTACAGCTTGGTTCGACGCGGTTGAGACCTTGTTTGTTTCCCTGGCTTTCCACATGTTGCCCCAGAGCACTGGAGGATGAGGGAAGATTCTTTCACCGTGTTGCGCTTGGTTGTCATCATCGAGGCCTTCATATAATTCAGCTGCTGCTGAATCAGTGCTTTCATGAGATGGGTGAGAATTCAACTGCCGAAGGCGTTTGTCTCTTGCTATGTGTCTTGCTCACTCCACCTTGAAAGTTATTATATGGAATTGACCTCGTTCTGGAACAGTTTAAAACCCTGCGCTCGCAGTGAATGTATTTATCGCATTTGTTGACTTGAAGTAGAGCTCTGTCTTCCCTGAGGAGTGTGACTTGAGAAAAGTGCATTTATTAAGAGTCATTCTTGTGCATGAATAAGAAAGGATGAGGGCATACTAATGAAGTGATTTAGGTTGTGAACCTTGCTGGCCCGTCGTTCGTGTACGAACTTGTTTCTGTTCTATTTCAACTCAAACTCTTGAACTTTCTGGCCGTTAGGATCTTGACAATTATGGTTGAGAAAATAGCGGTTTCGTCTCTGCATGCTAAGCGAGGAGGCAATCTGTTAGCATCTCTGAAGCTCAACGCTTACTCCATTGCTAAGAAATCCTCCTCCAAGCTCGTCAAACCAGTATCCTTACATTCTGGGAGCCCGAAAGTGTACAAGGGTGTGCGAAAGCGGACGTGGGGAAAGTGGGTGTCTGAAATCAGAGAACCAAACAAGAGGTCACGCATTTGGCTGGGCTCCTTCCCGACTGCGGAAATGGCAGCCAAAGCTTACGATGCTGCCGCTGTGTGCCTGAGAGGACAATCGGTGAAACTAAATTTCCCAGACTCCCCTCCTCAAGGCGTCCAACGCTGCACCTCCCCGAGAGACGTTCAAGCTGCAGCCGCGGCAGCCGCAGCGGCTTGCATTCTGCCAGCGAGTGCCCTTCCTATGGTCAATCACTCAGTCACTCCATCGTTCGAGAGCACTCCACTCAATTCATTGCATTCGTCCTCAGGGATGAGCTCCGACGATGAAGCAGAAGACATCGACCGGAGTCACCATGTTACAAAATTCTGCTCCCACGTAGACGTTGTGCCTGTGGAGTAATGGATCAAGGCCGAGTTTGGGGACGTGGAAGCAGCTCATGCGGACCCTGACCACTCGTACGTCTTCCCCGAGCTCACAGTCGACCCAGTGTTGGCCACCTTCTACAACGACCAAGTTTGGGCCGAGTACCTGACCACCGAGGCACACGAAGCTGCGGCTTACGAGTCAAGGTTGTGGTGCTTCTGAAGCTCATCTGCATTATTAGGTTAAGTAGTATTCTGGAATTTTGACGCTGTCCGTGGAAGACAGGAAGCGTTTGCCCTCGAACCTGAGGCGCATTTCCATGAGAGCGATCGTGCAAGGGATTAGGTTGGATTGTGGGGGTGTTTTGGACGTTGTTCATGCAACCGGGTGTGTTTGCTCTGTTTCGATGTGGGGGCTTTTCAAAGGTCACCGTAGTATATGAACATCTTTTTGTGCCCAATTTTGGAGATGAGCTTTATCGTTGGTCTAGGCAACAGATCCGCGTGTGTAAACACCTCGCAGTTAAGGCCTATCGAGTAGAAACCAACCTTGCAAGCATAGGGAGTGAAGGGACGTGTACAGCAGTAGACTGAAACTAGCACCACGAGTTTTGTAGTCAGTGGATTTCAGTCAGTAGATTGTTTCCCTCACCACCCTCAAACACACACTGTACATATCAATGATCAGCGTTGTGCAAGAGTACCTTGCCCAATGCTTTATTTTCAAGCTTCACAACTGAACAACTTTGTCAATCTTCGGTCCACTGCAGTCTGTGTCATCTCTCAAAGAGCGCAGCAACTTACATTCCATCAAATCGTGACGTTCACAAAATTTGACTTGGTGAATGGAACGTCTCACGTAGTTGTCGATCTGGGTGCAGCAGGAAAAGACTCTTTGAAAGATTCAGAATGAAGTCAAGCACATAATCAATTCATCTTTTCGCAGTCCTCCATTTCATTTCGAATTCAAGATCTCCATCCTAAGCTTAGGGTCACTTTACTATACAGTGGGAATTGAGGGCAATTCCATGTCAATAAAGAATAAAATCTTCTTGCATCATTGGTAGAGCAGTTGGACCAGCCTTGGCACCTTTGGAAAAGTATTATATATATATATATATAGAAACCTAATCAAGAGGAAAGAAATTCATATTTCAAAAATTTGTTTTCAATCTAGAAATGCAACTCTCAACCGCGTGCCATGCCAAAGTGAGCAGTATTTGGCCTAAATCTTGCACAGTTAGTTATAAGTTAAGTCAGCTAATATGAAGCGGCACTTAGTCGCCATTTTATGATCGTTCCTATCTAGTAAAAAGCATGTTGCTTCGAACACAAAAATACTCTCAAGCCTTACGCGAGTAGTTGCTACCAGTTGCTAGTCTCTAATTGCAGTATTAGATGTTGTTTGCGTGTGGAGTTGCTGAGTGTGTGAGGTACCGCAAGTAGTCAGATGTCGGTACTTTCATTCAGTGATCTGGATATTGGATTAAATTTTGTACCTGAAGTTCTATTTAAGGGCCTCCCGTTGATACCATCAGCACTGCACAGTTTAGTTCTATGTTTATTCATCATCAGCCTCACCAGTTCGAAAATCCTGTTGAGGGTGCTCATTACACCACGATAAAAGATAGAATTGGGAAACAACATTTCTTAGTTCAGCAGGACGGCGTAAAACATAGAACTCAACTGGCTGGCTCAAATGGTCGAAGCTTCTGACCTTACTAATGATGACTGCAACAAAATACAAAATACACAACTCAGGGTTTCATCTTTGTCACAATAGTTCCTAATCAAGATGTCGCACATGATAACGTGATATTTACTTTGTTTTGCTTCTCGTTACAATTGAAGGTGCGGCATCGTTTCATGATATTACAGTACCATCAGCTTCACTGTAGCTACACTTGGAAGAAAAGGACTCGATGAATCAATTTAGTTATTTTAAAAGAGATTGAAGAATACATATGTAGGTTGTGTCTCCTATACGTGTGTATGTACATATATATATATATATATATATATATATATATATATAAATAAATAAATAAATAAGCTTTGGAAATGTAGGTAACGTGACTGAACAATTTCAGATGTACACCTAAAATTATGTTATCTATACAGAAGTTCCAACTCACGAGTTGAAGAGCGTTCCCACTCTGAACCCAAAAAAATTATAACCATTATAAGCATTTCGCAATCTTCCAACAACCCCCGCAAACGAACGACTTGAATTTTCATTAATCCGGTTGCAGGGACCAAACCTGACCAACAGTGCTTTGTTGGAAATAAGGTACCAGAACACAACGCGATAGGAACACTGTAAGGAATGTAATGTACATACGGAATCCGACATGACACACCACATGCGGCATCCATGTAAAACCAACTCTCTAAAACCAATACAGACTTGCAAGCACTAATCTCGAAAACACATACCCAACTGCTAATTCCAAAGGGCAACAACTGGCTGGTGGAGGAACCACGTCAAAAGCTATGCATAGCTAAACACATGAATGGAAAGAGTATCAGACCTATAAAAAGACCTACACCCAACCAGTGGTCACTGAACAGGCAAACTTCCAAAAACAAATATGTGAGATAACCTGTAACAGGGAGACCTACTTGTGTGCAGTGCTAGTTCAGAGTTGGAATTGTACTTTCCATCAACAACGATGACCCACTTGAGAAATTGCTAAGACTGGCTTCTACACAGGATCTTAGCTACAGGTGATTCTCATCATGCACTTAATCATCAATCAATCCTAACTAACCCACTAGAAAACATGGGTCATACTTGGTCAAAACTGGTCTAGGAAGCAGCTCAACTACTGGTGTTGATGAACAATCCATGCTGCAACAAGTCAGGTCAGATCCGGTCTAGTCTGGTGTGAGGAATCTTGCGTTAGGGTTTAGGGTAAGTTGAATGGTTTTTGTAAAGCTGAACCGTAGAATCTAGTCATAAGGTCAATTCAATGCCCTTATAGTGGTCAGAGCCTGACTGCCATGGCATTCTGATGACCCATTTGTCACAATCAGAATTTTATGGAAAGTTGCTTGTAATAAAATGGAGAAATAACCAAGTAACTATGCAACATGGTGCAACTGAAGGACATTTCATGAATGGTCAAATGCATGATCAGGATATAAATTTGAATGAAAAATAGACAAAAATAGGGGCATGTCAAATAGATCCAGGTTTTTACTAAATTGACCCATCCATCCTAACCATCATGAAAAAAACAAATGACCTCTTGATTCAATATGCAACCAATAAAAACCAACCACATTTATTATGATTACCATATTCATCATCAAGGGTGGGTCTATTAGTAAAAATATGTGTCTATTTAACATTCCCCTAAAAATATCAGAATTTTACAAAGCAGTTTCATGGTGTATGTTGAGGCAAATTATTATTATCCTTACATTTTTAGAACCATGTGCACATAACATATCATTACAAAACCAATGCATAATCTACAATTGATATTATCAAATTCTTTGAATATATACTTACATATAATATATATATATATATATATATTAATATATTCATCAAAAGTTGGGTTGTTATGAAAAAAACAAACTAATACAAACATGGAATGTAATGTGTAAGATAAATCATGTAAGAATTAATCAGGGAGTAAAAAATAAAAAATAAAGAAAAACTAAAAATAAACTCTTGTACAAACTACAAAAATTTCTTGGATCATCATACGTAACAAAAAAATAAGTTCATGTAATAATTAATAACTTTAATATGCATTTAAGACAAGTTATGGGCGTTAAACGTTCTATATATATATATATATATATATATCTACATATGTAGAACAAGAAATCAATTCATCAAATTCTTTGGTAAAACCAAATCTTCCTCCACTACCTTAGACATCAATTGCTCAATCGATCATTATTATTTCTTTGCAAGCTTACATTGATTTTCTTGAAAGTTTACTAAATAACATCTTCCTTGACTAATACCCGTAATGTGCCAAAGATTCATGAATATACAGGGGATTCAAGCCTTTCATCATCAGCCTGAGCGGAGAAACCCTAACACTAATTCAGCAACCGAAGTGTGGATCAGTTTCGAGCGATCAGTGTCGATCGAAGCCTTATCACCGACTCCGCGACTGATCGATGGGCATCTAGACCATCACCGGCACTGGTGAAGTGATTCCGGGTATGAGAACGAGAGTTGCCGGCCGCTGGGAGCAGTGGCCGTGAGCAGAAACGAATCGATCGCCATGTCTGCCCATCCCTCGGAAGCGTGCAGTCGACGCACGACGTCGACCATGTTGGGCCTCGCGCCGGGATCCTCCGACATGCACTGGAGCGCGATGTGAGCTAGCCCTGCAGCACCCGCGAGAGAGAAATTCGCCTCAAGTTTTGGGTCCACAAATTCCCGGACTTTGCCAAGCTCCAGCAGCGGGTGGACCCATGTGGCCATGCTGACGAGCGTCCGCGTCGCCTCGACGAAGAACACTGGGCGGTGGCCCGTGAGAAGCTCGAGAACCAGGGCGCCGAAGGCGTAGATGTCCGAGTCCTCGGTGACTTGGCCTGTGTACGCATACTCCGGTGCTAGATAACCCAGCGCTGCTAGTGTCTTGTGGGTTGCGTACATCACCTCCTCTGCCACTATGTCGGACAAGCCGTAGTCTGCGAGGAGCGCGTTGCCTTGCTTGTCGAGCAGGATGTTGCCGGCCCAAAGGTTTTGGTGTACCATCGTCATGGGCTCCGTCATGCCTTCGTGCAAGTGCGCGAGACCTGCCATGCGTAGTCGGAAGGATCTTAAGAAGATGTTGAACATCACCATAAGAACACTATTCTTTATTTTTAAAATTTATTTATCATGACCTAGTTCAGATTATGTTACGAAAATGAGAGGAAGATGATGGATGTGGCGGAGGATGGCAAGACCTTTTGCGATTCCGCGAATGATCTTCACTCGCATGCCCCAGTTAAGAAACAATTCGCTCTGGTCATGGAGATGGTGATCCAGAGAGCCGCCGGGCACGAACGAATACACGAGGAAGCATTCGGAGCCACCTTTTGAACAGCAGAATCCCAAGAAGTTGACAAGATTTTCATGCCGTACTTGCAGCAGGGCTTCGATAGCTATCTGAAAGTCCTGCTCGCCGAATGAGTATCGTGTGTTGTATATTGCTTTCACAGCCACAGAGGTGCCATCTCGTAATGTTCCTTTATACACCGCTGAGTGGCAATTCTTCCGCAGAAGGTTCTTGTCGGAGAAATAGTTTGTGGCGGTTTCGAGCTCGCCCAAATGGATCCAGGAGCTCCATTCCGCAGGGCTAGGGAGTCCATTCGACGCGATGGTCGACGTGCTTCGACCCGACATAACCCTGGACCTTCCCAAGATGGAAAAGTCCGGTGTGCTGCCATGGAACGAGCTCTGGAGATAGTTTGTGCTTCCGTTTATGCTTTCAGATTTCTCTCCCTTGGGTGCAGATTTGTGCACGGACTTGATGCCTGAGTTAATGTCTGATTTGATGTCAAATGCGTGCCTGAGATGCGCGTTTCGGCGCTTCAAACAAATGTAAACGAGGATCAAAAACGCGCTTCCTCCGATTGCGAAAACGATGGCAGTTGTAATGCTCATTATTTTCTTGAAACTTTGTGAGGGTTCCGCAGGAGAGGACTCTAGCGAGCTGGAGGGTGGGGTCGGACATTTTGATATGTTCAAGCCCGTGCCGCAGAGTCCACTATTGTTGCTGTACTTGAAACCATGCCGCAGATCAAACAGCCCTGCTTGGATAAATCTCGTTTGGATTAGTTCGCTTCTAAGACCTGTTCTGGACATACCCATGTGGAGAATACCCAACGATTCCTCGATAATATCATTCTGGCTGACAGACATCCGAGAGGAAACTTGATTTTTGAGAGCTTAAGGTGAAGAGATAAATGCTTACCTGTTGGAACGGGACCAGATAGGAGGTTGTGAGATACATCGAGGTAGATGAGCTTTGTCAGATTTTCCACTGAGGCTGGGATTTTGCCAGTTAATGTGTTATTGCTGACGTCTAGTCGTTGCAGCATGGTCATGTTGCCAATCGTGGAAGGAATCGTACCATTCAGGTTATTTGCGTTGACGGCCAAAGTTTCAAGGTTAGAAAGACTGGCAAGCTCCACTGGGATCTCTCCTTCCAGATTGTTGCAGCTCAGTTCCAGCACTGAATTTTCGAACAAAACACATTTCTTTGTATTGTTAATGCTTTCTTCGGATACAAGTCCCAAGATCCTACTACGCCAAGTTAATCCCATCGAGCTCTTCCGCTCATCACTCAGAGTTGACAACTGACCATAAATTTCAAGCACGTGAGGAGGATTAATTCACATAAATATGGAAGCCCTGACGACGATGACAACACTTTCGAGGTCCGCGTTGTACCTTGTAAGCTTGCGAGCTGACCCAGTTGAGGAGGAATGGCACCAGACAACTGATTCCAATTTAGATACATGTCTGTAAGGCCCTCTAAATAAGAAAGCGAGGCAGGAATGCCGCCCCGCAGCTCATTAAAATGCAAGAAGAGGGCAGTTAGCTCTGGGAGCTCGGACACAGCATCTGGAATGAACCCTGTCAACGACCGCCCTTGCAACGAAATGTTCGTAACTCTCCCCGCTGATACCAGGAAAACAAACAAGGTTAAGATGATTTCAGGGCAAGGAAAACGAGTCATGGAACCCTAGTCTCACATCCAACTTAGCAACTTCTAAAGTGCACAATTTCAAATTATTGACGGGGTTGTCATGGATCAATTTGTCACCTGAGTCACAAAGAACTCCGTCGAAAGCGCCGGAGCAAGGCTGTACCCCTGTTTGCCAAGAATCTAAGACTAATCCATGTGGGTCGAGTGCGGCCTTCACATCCAGCAACACCTCGACCTCCGGCCTTGCAGGTACCCAAGCCGCAGCAGGCCATGTAACCAGAAGTAAAAGAAAGGGCATCAGGTGCATCATCTCCAAGGCAGGACAAAAACTTCCACTTCCGGCCATTGTTGTGCTTCACCCTTCAGCTTAATACAGATGCCATTCATGATCTCATCTTCGATGCAACTACGCTGCAATTGATCGGTACATGCGACCAGCTCCGTGAATGGGCATAGCTAGCTGATCCTACAAATTCCATACTGCCCTGTCATGTTCCTTGGCGGTCCATTATTGCGTCGGAAACGTAGCAAAATCGTCTCCGGCCTCGCTTCTACCATCACAGACGCGTCGAGCTGTCAACATCACAGAGGCTATTGTGCCAGCGACAGGGATTTCCTTCGCACGTCCTGCGTTTCGACGATGCTGGCACAACAGACCCGATGATGTGCACAAGAAACTAGTCAACTGCGAATCAAATTCCTCTAGAAACGTAGCGTCCCCATTGACATAGCCACTGCGCTGGCTACTGGTTGATTGAACAATTTCTGTAACATTTGCTTCCTGACGCGTCTGACACAGTATGGACGACAGGGGAGCTGATTGATAACCCTGACGAGCAGTGGCATCTTCAATCCAGACCGAGACTTAATTTGAACCTGCTAATCCCAACCTCGGTCAATCATGACCTTTTATCTCAACGCCTCGCCCTGGTTCTGAGCATCCCCTGGCCGACTGGTCGGGTGCAGACAATCGATTCAATCACCCTGCAAAAGCGTTGATTTTTAGTACTTCAGATCAATGCAAGTACTATTTAATTCACCGGAAGCCAGAAGCGCCAGCTTTTGCGGAGGAGGACCTTTCAATCCTCGCGAGCTGGGTACTGGTGGAATCGACACAACGAGGACATGGAAAGTGGGAGTTCACATCGCTGAGATCGATTGTCACCTATGCGTTGGTGATGAGTTCAGAAATTGTACTACTCATGATCGCCTTGACCGAATGGGTACTGGGACTCCTGGGATCTCCCAAGCTAGACTCTGTCCTAGAACGATTGCATTCAGACCCTGAAGATGTGCCGCCCGCCTGCCTCCTAACGATCCTAAATTTCTAACCTCGCGGTGTGTTCTAAGCTTAAGAAGCTTTCAGGTTCACCATCAGCGGCATGGCACCACTGATTACCATGCATGTACTTTTCCTAACGAATTTTGAGGAGTCCCAAATACATCCAAATTCAGACAGTGTGTCTGTACAGAGGCTGGCACGTATCTGGAGCCAGAAAGATAGAAAACAATGTGTTGTCCTGGTGAGTCAATCGACTTGTCTACAGCTCCCTGAAGAGCTAGGTCCGTTTGAGTCATCGTTAGGTATGGGAACTAACTCGATGTCGAGCCACGTAAGTCTTCATTAACCGTATGAAAAAGTAGTGGAAAGGGGATTGAAAGCTACCTCAATTTCCTCGTCAGAATTTCGATCCAGCGAAGTTACGAACCAGAAGGGCGTCTGCAGCCCTGATAGCGACGACGTTAGGTTTAGAGGAGCCCCAGCAATGACGAGAGGGGACAACCTCAGTGCGTAGAATCGGCTTTAAAGATACCGAGCGATGTGATTATTCCAACGAGCGTATGCTGCGATGTTGTCTCATGCAACTCGTGATTCGTGACATTATTCATCTTCCGACCCCTCGAGTCTTCAGTCTGCACAATGAAGTTTTCGCCATGAAACATTTTCTCTCAATTCAGCCAGTGCAACCAGGGAACAGTTAATAAATACACAAAAAAGCCTTGCACAGTGGTGAAGAAAGTGATCCTTTCGGGTCCAGTTTTTAAGTGAAGAATGAAGGAAATTAATGACCACAAAAGGCCATGTATGGATCCATTATTGTGCGAAGCGAATCGAGAATTAGTACCGGAGAATTGACCTGGTGGTATTGGAAAGGGAGCGATGATAAGGGAATAGCGGCATGTTTGGAGGAGATATGATTGAGCATGTGGGACCCTGGAAAGCCTGAGCCAACACAGTCTCAGAACATTATCACACCTGATTATCCAACCCACAACCAGGGCTCTATTCCCCGTGCGAGTCGGAGTCGTGAGCGTTCTCCTCGAATTAACCCCCCTCCTTTGCATCGCCGGTGGACTCAGGTTCCACCGCAGGACCGAGTCACCACTCAGCTGGGTTCCTAAACCTCAAGCACCCCACCCAGTCCCATAGTTACAAATAATGGCTGTGCTGCGTTTCAGGAATGAAAGCGAGAGTCCGTGCCGCGGTTATGAAATCCTATTATGTCAACCGGCGTGTAACTTAATGGCCCCCACTTGAGCGACACCTATTGACAGGACCCTGGCATGGTCCAGTGGAGTTTTAAAACCCACTAGCTCGCACAGACGGAACTATAAATGTCGCACAAGCGGGGAGCAAGGTGGGCGGCGTGGAGGACTAATCCGGTACCACGACCACCGAGCAGCATCCATCAAGGGGAACTGAGTTTGCATCCATCTACCGGTTTCTTTCTCGTTTTCGCTCAGGCACTTCGTGCAGCTTGGCCGCTGTTAGCCGCTGTGGTGTGTGTGTGTGTGTTTTGCTGCCTCATTGGTTCGGTGGATCACCAGCATTTGTTGGCTTGCTTACTTGCTTGTGGTGGTGGTGAGTGTGTGAGAAAATCAGTTTGTGTGTGTGCGTTTGTTTGTGTCTGATTTGATCTGGTGCCTTTCGAGTCACCCTCCATCCAGCCATTGTTGTTTGAGCTTTCTTCTCCGGTTGCTCACTTTGGAGTGTGTTGAATGGTGTGAAGGATACTACTGGGTTTGAAGATGGCCATCCCCACAGAATTATATCTCAACAAAATTAGTTTTTTTCTGTGTGTGTGTATATATATGTATACATCTATGAATGTGTAACAAACAAGGTTAGAATTTTGTAGTTGGTATTCAAACTAACTTGTGGTGTACCTACTTTTTATTATGTAGTGGTTTGAAGGCATTGAGAATCAAAAAAAAAATTACACTAAGATAAATATATTTGTATAAGTAAAAAAACTTGTGAAAATAAAAAATAAAAAACAAAAAAAAACCATAAACAAAATAAAAGTGTAGTTTTCAATGAATGTTTGAAAACTAAAGATGTTTAAAAAATCTAAAATTTTATTAAAAAATCTAAAATTTTGAAAAATATTTACCAAAAGCTAACATGCCAAAGTATACTTTGTTTGGAATTAGGATTGAAGTGTTAAGATTAACCAAAATATATTGCAATTAAAATTAACAAATTGATGTAATTTTAAAGTGCCACAATTTCAGATGTGATTATTTTTTGTATAAGTCATTGAAGTAGAATAAAAGTATAATTTTGTTGGAATTTATGTGATACATAAATATCTATAGAATCTTTTATTTTAAAAATGATATCATGAAAGATATTTTCATATAAATTAATATAGATCTAAAGTTATAAAACTATTTTTTTAATTTCATAATATTAATAAAAACATGTTTGACGAGTCTTGTCATTGTAACTAGTAAATATTGCCATTGTAATATGTGTGTTTGGTGTCTTTACAACTTAGACTTAAATTGTTGATTGCTAGTATAAGTGTGTCCTAACTTCATGGTTAGTATTTTATGGCAACCATGCCATACCCAAGAGAAATCACAAACTTGCTAATAATGATAAAATGTTAAATTATTAAACTATTAAAAGAATTAAACCTAAAATAAAATTGTATCTTTGTATTGCTTCAGTTCTTTCTCTTTGCAACTTATTTAATTAAATAAATATATGTATATATATATATAATTTTAAAATATTATTATATGTTAACCAATTATTAAAAAAACATATTTAAAAAGTCTAATTAATTATGAATTTGTGTATATATGTCATACATAGTTTTAATATCAAGTAGAAATTACTAAAGCTTTCAAGATATCATTTCTATAATTCTATTTTTGCATGTAAACAGATACATTTAAAAATCGACATAATATATTTATGTAAGTGAATCCGAAATGAATAATTCTTAAGTCTCTTTTTGATATCAAATTGGTTTATTAAAAATATAACATCAAAATTTATATATTGAAAGAATTAATTTGAATGAACCAATAATAGCAATAGGGATTACTTCTAGTACATCAGATAATCAAATAAATATACTCTCTAAAATAATAAATTATACTAACTTAATTTTAGTAGGGATTATATATATATATATATATATATATATATATATATAAGTCTAAAATTGTTAGGGACATAGTCCTTAGACCTTTCTAGAGACAAGTTTCTAGAACCTTCTAGAAAGAAGTCTCTAGAAACTTCCAGAAGATTCTTTGAATATTCTCTTAGAATATTCGTCAAAGATTCCCTAAAGATTCTTTTAAGATTCCCTAAAGATTCCTTTAGAAGGCTCTAGAAGATTCTTAGAATATTCTAATAGATTCTAGGAAGTTACTTGAGAAGCTTCCTAGCTCTTAGGTAGTTGCTCGAGAAGCTTCATAGTTCTTGGGAAGCTTCTTAATGCGCTTCCTTAGAACCATAGGCCAGTAGTATATATAGGAGTCGAGGCTGAAGAGTTCTTCAGTCTCGACAACGCATCTCTTGAAGCTCTAGCTCAATTCTCTTGGCGTTGCTCTTGTATTCATCTGATAATCTAGTTCTTGTCATTTCTTCTTGAAATTCTTGTTTAGATTTCTTGTTTGTAATTTTGGTCCGTGACAGTTTGTCGAGACTACCTTTATCTTAATATCAGAGCTGAATCCTTCTTGTTTGAGAGCGGATTACCCCTCTTCTTGAAGGTATTCTAGCGCTTTAGGGGTTGCGGATTACCTTCCTCTAAACTGATATTTTCTCAATCACAATATCAGAGCTTAGTTCTTTGAGGCAGAGAGTGGACTACCCCTTTCCTTGGAGATACTTGAACGTTCTAAGGGTTGCGGATTACCCTCTCTTGGACTGATATTAATTCTTTCTTTTTGTTTAGCATAGCTAGTAGAAAAGACTGTTAACATCGATTTCAGAGCTTTGCCTTCTTGATAGAGTGCGGATTACCCCTCTTCTCGAAAGCATTGAGGCATTTTTAGAGGTTGCGGATTACCCTCCTCTAAAACTGAAATTGTTTAGTGTTTTTTTTTTCTCTTTTCTCCGAGTAGGTTTTAGTGACAGGTAGTGCTACAATTTTCTCTAAGAGACTTAGTAATTTCTTCTTCTCTCAAAATTTTAATCCATCTATTCTCTAAATATGGAAGTAGACTAGGTCATAGACAGTGCATCTCCACAAGTAGACAATAGAGTGGCAACTCTTGCAGATCTTCAAGCTCTTATGAATAGTGTACGAAAGGAGATTGCATTTCTTCGCAATTCAAGTAAAGAACCTCAAATTGATCTTGTGATCGAAGAAGCTAGATGTGAAATTCATAGCCTACAACAAGAGATTATTCGACTGAGAGAAGCAAGACATGTGTCACATACGACCCCTATAGATACTTCAAGGATTAGTACGAAAGAACCAAAAGCGAGTATGCCAAACAAGTTTGACGGAACAAGAGCCAACTTCCGAGGTTTTGTGCAACAAGTACGGCTTTACCTACGCCTATACCCTTCTCGTTATCCGAATGGATTTACCCAGGTTGCTTTCATAGGTACTCTTCTATCAAGAAATGCTCGCTCTTGGTTTGCTCCACTATTGGAGAAGGATTCTCCAATATTGTACGACCTAGAGGCTTTCATAGAGAGACTTACTGCTGCGTTTGGAGATAGCGATCGAGAAAGAGTGGCTGAAAGAAAGATACAAAATCTGCGACAAGGATCACGTTTTGCTGCAATCTATGCTGCAAAATTTCAACAGCTTACATGTGATCTTGATTGGAATGATAAGGCATTTATGACACGATTTCGATATGGATTGAGAGATGATGTCAAGAACTTATTGGTCACCATGCCTAAGGCGGATACTTTAGAAGAACTTATATCTCAGGCAATTATTTGTGACAACCGCCTCTTTGAATTACGACAAGAAAGACGATCAGGCTGGAGAAATGATGGAGCATTTGCTACATTTTCAAAAGGTCCAGAGAATCACTCCATAGATCCTGAACCCATGCAAATTGATGCGGTACGTTTCAAACCCCTCACAGCTGAGGAAAAGAAGCGACGGTTTGAACAAAACTTGTGTTTATATTGCGGAGAAGCGGGCCATAAAGTTGTAGATTTTCGGAAGAAACAGAAGCTTCAAACAACAAGACTCAGGAGTACAAGCATGCAGGAAAACAAGGACGCCCAGCCACAATAGGGACCGTGCGGCTGAACATCTCAACATCCAAAATTAATCAAGGTCCCTTTTTCTCAACTCAACCTTCAGATTGT